GTGCGTCCACGTTGAAACGGCCAAAAACGCTTATGTTCTAGTACTGTGCATTCATGAAGCACAAGAAGATTTGACCTGCCTCATTTCTGTATGCCGCTTATTTACTTTCCAGCTCTTTGAAACGTCACGGCAGAATGTTGAGGAAAACCACCGAGTTTTTTAAATGGACTAACAATGAGGTGGAGTTGTTGCTGCGAGTAACACAAAAGTACAAAGTTTCAAAAGCGAGTGAGAGTTAAAGAATTTGAAGAAAAGCTATCTGGAGCATGTACAGACTGATATCTTTAGTAGGGCTGTCAAAATTCAGAGAAAACAAAACAACTGCTGTATAATGCCCTCCGCTATCTTAGTGTAATTGGTCACATGACTGCATCACATGCCTAAAATGCGTCATCATTTTAGAAAGTCTGCGTTTTTGCTCTCCACACTGTGACATGAAAGCACCGCTTCCAAATGTATGCATTTTCGAGAGCGTTTTTCAAAATGCTGCGTTTTCCATCAGCGAAACCGCCGTCTCAGTGTGGACGGGAGGCCAAAATGGAGAGAAAACGATGTGTCTTCAAACGAAAACGCATTAGTGTGGACGTAGCCTAAGTCAGAGTTCCAGCATCCGTTGGCCCTTGTCAGGAATTCCCATGAAAGAAGAGAAACAGAGACACACACAGCATAAAGCTGGCAGCTGCTGACAGCTGTATAAGCAGAGAGTGGCTCAATGCTTCATCAGTGTGGCATAATGAAGGATGTCTGAAGGGCTGATGATTATGTTGTTGTGTTGGAGGATAAAAAGCCTGAATGCAACAGCTTCCCTTGCTCTCACTTTTATGGTGCTGTTTTTGCTGAAGCAAATCTTTTAAAAGCTGATTGTAGTCTGAGCCATACAACACCGGGCACTCTCAAACCACAGGAAATGTCTCGTGGTTCTACAGCAACTGTTGCTGGAAACACCCCCATTTATCTGTGTCGGAGGACCATCATAGTTCTTACAACTCTGTTTTTGGAGCTCCTATTAAACAGTAGAGATAGCTGTAATGTGATTTGTCCAGACATAAGCATGGGTTGACCGGTCGAACACATAAAAGCAGGACTGACATTTGAAAAAATGATCAAGGTGACATTCGCCCCAGTGGAAAAAAAGCAGAAACATGAACTGACAGTAAATCAAAACTTCTGGTTGGAGAAGTTTCCATCAAAAATGTGATTCAGTCTCTGTCTTTCTGCTATTAATTGCATTATTTCTCCCTCTATTAAAGTAGTATTCAAACTTTTTTTTACTTATGCTTGAAGTGTTTAAGATTTAGAAGTGGAGATATAGGTGATTAACACTTTATCCCCAGTATATTATTCTAAACTTACCATCGGCTATAAACAAATGATCAGAATATTATGTTCCATAAATATTTATTCATGACGTTAAACTCCAAAGAAATGAATTGCAGACGGATATTTCTCCTTAAGATCTTAAAAAAAACGTTAAAAAAACAAATAGCAAGGCCCAAACACTCAAGATTATTTTTATTGTTAATTGGTGTTCTATATGGTGCCTCGTTAACATGGTCAACCACACAGTTGGGGAGAGAGCACTTTGAGACACAGATAAAAGCAAAGCACATTTGAATTTCAAAGCAAATTTAGCCAAAACACCAGGACAGACAACCTTCACTTCCAAGCATCCAGCCTTCAGATCGCAAAGTGGGGTTCATTAACGCATTCCTGCACATGTGGGATGGCTCGGCTCATCTCAACACTGACAGGAACAAGAACGTGGAGATAAGACCTGGAACTGAATGTACATCAAGGTGGAGAGAGACAGAGAGACACAATCTTAAGAGTGGGAGTGAGAGCACGAAAGAGGAAGGGGGGGGGCTTTTACCTTGTGCGTTTCTTTTAGTGTACAGACTGAACTGTCAAACACCAAAAAGATGAACTGCTACTTTGAGGGGAGAAGGGGAGCCGTGTTGTCAAATGAGTGTGTCGTAAGTGGAAGAGGGGAGGGGGTAGTGTTTACATGGACTTTGGTGAAAGAGCTTTTCTGGTAGACCTTGTTTGACATGGCCAGGATAACTAATGAATATGCGCGCTCTTTCTCTTACTGTTCCTCTCTGTCTATCTTAGTCCACATCGCTTCTCTTCATCTTGCTCTCTCATGCACAGCATCACTTCTGTCATTGTTTTTGTCTTCTGTAAATATATTTCGTTTTTCATTCTTTCACCTTTTTAAAGAAACACGCTGCATAAAATGACATTTGTTGAAAAGATGCATTCAGCTTTTGGGTTTTTTATTTGGTTTTTTTCAAGGACCGAGTGGGGGGTATGGACATGGTTGTTAATTGAGTGTTGACAATGGCCTTATGTGAGGTTAGTGGTAGTTGGTAAGATTTTAGCATCACCATTGGTCACTAATTGAGACCAAACCGTGCATGCTGAAATGTATTTACATTTTCATTAGGGAACAACCACCAGGATCTCTGATGAGAGGCCGGCAAATGAGCTGATTGATAGACGTTCAGCACATTTTTCTCACCAGCCACAATCAGTTAACGTCCAGTTTTACACAAAAATAAATAAATGACTTGAATGTCTTAAATTCACTCAAGGCTATGTTTTTCTTTTCCATGAAGATAAGATTGTAGAGTGAGAGCTTTGCACTTTGTCAACCAACTGCATTTTTCACCTTGGTCACTCTTCCTCCTTATAAACAGATGGCACAGGCTTATAGAGAAATGACTCAATACCCCAGGATCTCTGTAAAGATAAAAGGCATTTTTTTTGTAAGAGGTGGAAAACTAAGACCAAAAAAGTGTCACAGTGTACCAGTGTTACAGTTCGAGGATAATGTAGTTCCTTTCCTTTTTATACAGTCACAAAAAGTTCAAGAACATTAAGTTGGCCACCTGGCGCCAGTTTTGGTGGATGAATGGCATTCTACATTTTTTTCCTTCGTTTTGCTTCTTTCCTTGTTTGTCTGCCTCCCACTGTCTTTCTCACATGCTCACGCCGACGACAGAGCAGTAGCCAAAGATCCCAGGTGCAGGATGGATGTGAAGGGCTTTGTGTTTTGTCAACAGCGCAACAGCACCTCACATGACAATCCAGTGGGCTCATGCAGGGAAGACGGGGCAAAGAAAGTGGAAGATAAGAAGAGGAAAACAACGCAGTAGGGAAAGATAGGCAGGTCATGTGGGTGAGAACCAAAAAAAAAAAAAGGAAAAGAAGAAGAAGAAAGGGTTGGAGAAAAGTACACAAGCAAGTCTGAATGGAGAAACAAAGGAACGCATGTAGGAAAGAAGCAGGGAGGCGCTCGAGAAGAGATATGGCCTGAAGAAGAAAGGGGGAGTTTGAGGTCTGCAGCAAAATGAAACACAAAGAGAGTGAGCATTATGGAGTGATGGGGTGGAGGGCAGAGTGAGAGAAAGGGTGGAAAAGGCCAGTGGCCTCTGCTCTGTCCCCTCTGTGTGCTGCTAAACTGCCCACCAGTTCCCCGCAGCTCTGTCACTTCTTGTTTGCTAATCCCCCATTCTTCTCCCCCTCCTAGTCTTCCTCGCTCCCTTTCTCTCAAATTGGTCAATTGTTAATGTGACCCCTTTAAACCCCACCATCCCTCTTTTGCAGTATCATCAACATAATTATCTGTGTGTACAAGAGGGGCATTTAGAAAGGGAAGTGCTAGATGACAAATGTCTATAACTGTTTTTAAAAAAATCTGTCCCGAAATAAGAAAAGGCTGCTCATGAAAACACTATCACATTCAAACCCTGCACACACTTCCTTCTCAAGAGGCTGAAATAGGAGCAGGAGAGCAGATTCTGTATCTGCTCATAGTTTATTTCAGCGAAGAAAGAGTCATGCTTGTTTTGGACCATCTGTGCTTGCAGCTGTAAGCATCTGGTCCCAATGAGCATGCTCAGATGAATGAATATCTTAAAAGCCATGAAGGAGAGACACTTCCGTGATCCCTTTTTTCCCCTCAAGTGACAAACAGGTGCCCTTTTGAAATAGGATAACGAGGGAATACAACAGCTTCGGGAGCTGAAGCATTTGTAAGGGGACTGTGAGAGAGAGCGTGTTTCATAGCAGGTGTTTGAGCTCAAAGTTTGGGGTTTTTTTCCCCCGTATCTGGAATGTTGTCAAGTTTTTCTTGCATTTTATCTTTATTTGCATCTTAGTAGATTTTGTTTCATTAGAGTAGGTACGATTATATTTCATTTGAGTCGGTTCGCTCATGTGAACTGGATTTATGATGTGAATACTGAGTACGTAGGGTTGATATTTGTCATCTTGGCTGGGATCTATTCGCTCAGTGCTTCGCTGAGCAGATATTAAGCTTCTCCCGCAGGGGAGATTAAAAAGCTACAGGTGCACTGAAGGTTCATGAAATGCTCCATGAACAGCAGAGTCCGAGTCACAGAACAAAACCACTTACAAAATGTTACTAATGTAACGAACATATCGGAGAACTAAATTAATACAACTGAAAAGCAAGAGACGTCTGAAAGCAAAGAAAGCAGATAATTATTTTCACAGTTTTGTTAGACACTGAAAAAACAAGAACAGTCAATACAGCAACTCCCATGAAACTGTTTTATCAACATATATTACAAAGCAGCTTATTTGTCACAGCCTACTGTACATGAACAGATGTAAGGACTTGTGTTGGGACATGAGGTAGTCGTAATTCTGACTTAGAAATGCCATCTGAATACAAATTTTGTGACTGTTTGGGTATCTGTTGTAGTCCTATTAGTGACTATGTTAAAGCCTGTGGATTTTACATATTCCACAATTGCAGTACAACTTGTTTCCCACTTCAGCAGACTATTCAACCTCCAAGTCTGGCTATGCTACTGCAAATACTTGTTGTGTTATTTAATAGCACATGTCCAAATTCTGCAAGCCTACTCTCTAGCAATGTTCTCTTTCTGAAAGTTGAGATGTGGATCTTCATCATTTTGTTTTTCTCCCATTTAATTTTTTGTAATTTTCTTCTTTTCTCCGTTGTATAGGCAACATATTGGACAGTATGCTGCTAAAAGCATCCAGTAAGGAGGCAGCAGAGAGTGGGAAGGAGACTTTTGGCAGCACAGCTCCTGCTTCCTCCTCCCAAAGACTACTGTGGTGTCACTGTTATCACCACTGCCCAGAAGATTCAACCAATAACACATGCAGGTAAAGAGAAACACCAACAAAAGCAAGTATTTATTTCATAACATGTCATGTTTCTGGTCGCCTTACCTACTGTCGCTAAATCTGCCTCTGCAGGACGGATGGCTACTGTTTTACAATGGTGGAGGATGAGGGAGGGGTGCCGGTCCAGACGGCAGGTTGCCTTGGGCTGGTCGGATCTGAATTTCAGTGCAGAGTAAGTTGATGAAAGTAACATTATAATCCACATAATTTCTTCCTCTTGCTGCCATTTTCTTTTCATCATCTGGCACAAATCCTTCCAAAATTAATTTAGGTGGTAAGCATTACAAGAGGTTAAGTTAATAAAGCAGGAAATTGTAACCTAACTGTAGATGCTAGCCAAGTACCTCACATGACTTTTCCGTCTTTCAGGACGCGGGGAACTCACGTCAAAGGCGGTCACTAGAATGCTGTACAGATGAAGATTACTGTAACAAAAATCTGCATCCTACGCTGCCACCACTCAAACCTCCTCGTGAGTTAATTTATCCAATTTCTGCTTTTTCCCTCGTTGCAGATGAAATGCACAAAAACACCAGTAGTTCTCCAGTTTGGCAGCGGCAGTTACAATGATAGATACAAGATCCTGAACTGTGGCTGATGGTGTGACAAGACACGAGATAAAAGACAGAGACATGACATTTTCATTGAGTCAAAGGAGGCTCAAGTGAAGGAGACGGTGTCAAACCGTCCTGGCGTGTCAAGAGCAAACTGATGTCTCATCGTGTGTGTGTGTGTGTGCGTGTGTGTGTGTGTGTGTGCGTGTGTGCGTGTGTGAGGGAGAGAGAGAGAGAGAGAGAGAAAGAGAGCCTTTCCATGTGTTTGAGAGAAAGTAAGCCTAGATTCCCAGGGAAATCACAGGCCCCAGCAGACACTGAGGGCAGATTCATCAATCTGAAACCCTATCATAGGGGATCAGGAGGGGAATTCATCGACTTGGTCGAGGGCTTCCTCTCGCTGTTGACTGGGGCCTTGAGGGAAGAAAGTGTGTGCCAGAAGAAAATGAAAAATTGATGAGTGAAATATGATTTGTACACAGTTTACTGTACTTTAGTCCTTTTTGTTTCCTTTACATGAGGCACTTTGGAAATTTCAAATTCTTTGTTTTTTCCTGTGTTTTAATGTGACGTTTCTGGAGTACAAAGAGAGTTATTGCATTTTGACATGCAAGAATTTTTTGCATTTAACTTAGATGAGGAATTTGATAAATGACTTTTCATGACTTTAAACATTTCTGATGCTTTTTTCAATGTCTCTTTCATCCTCCCCTCTCTAGTCTACGTAGATGGGAAGATCCACCATGTGGCCTTGTTGATTTCAGTCACTGTATGCACCCTTATATTGGCTGTCATTATTATTTTCTGCTACGTCAGGTAATTACATCTTACAATGAAACAGTAAAACAAACTTCATTAGGGTTTATTGAAACCTCTCTTTAGTGAATAATTAAAACTGACATATTGTGATATTTTACAGGTATAAACGACAGGAGTCTCGTCCTCGCTACAGCATTGGTCTAGAACAGGATGAGACATACATCCCCCCTGGAGAATCTCTGAAAGACTTGATAGAGCAATCACAAAGCTCTGGCTCAGGCTCAGGGCTCCCTCTATTGGTGAGACACACTCACTACATCTAAGTGACAGTTAAATCAAAAAGATGCTTCATGGACGTGAACATCCTGGTACTTTGGTCCAAATTCATTTTGTTTTTTTCTAACATCAGGGTGTGTAATAGTTGTACATTTGATATTTATATGCCCATCATGATATCAAATTTTGGCATTATTGCAATGTTTTTAGAAAATGCATTTATTGGGTGTTTGACCTTTTTGGCAAATGTGTCAACAGTCTGCAAATAATGTGTGCATCATTGACACAATATCGGTATTTAATTTCTGTGTGTAATTAATACACTGTTATAGCTACAAGTTACAAGTATTTGTTTTGGGGGACTTCTTTTAATCTTGGGTAAACCTTGAGAAATGTGCCAAGACACAATAAAACAGTACCATTCCTGATTTTACTTCATAGCTCCCACATCTGACGTTCACTTAACCTTAAACTGGAGTTTTAATTCTGAAGAAATATGACAGATGTGGTGAAACACATGGGTCAGATTTTATCTAAGCATTTCCTTCTTCTTTTTTTTGCTTCTCCTCAGGTCCAGAGAACGATAGCCAAGCAGATTCAGATGGTGAAGCAGATAGGCAAGGGGAGATACGGAGAGGTGTGGATGGGCAGGTGGAGGGGAGAAAAGGTAGCTGTTAAAGTTTTCTTCACCACTGAGGAAGCGAGTTGGTTCAGAGAGACTGAAATCTACCAGACTGTCTTAATGAGACATGAGAACATACTGGGTGAGTCTGTTTGTCTAGTACTTACTACCTTGTCTCTGCACCTATGTGAGAATTTCTTTGTTTCTCAGTGCTTTGTGTTGCTCTTTGACTTCAGCTAAATCAAAAAAGGTGCCGAGAAAGGAGATGTAAAGGGGCAAATTAAAAAAAAAAAATTGTATAAGTAATATAATAGCACCATACTAACCAGTCCTAAGTCAAACTGTCAGCTATTGAAAGCATGTCGTTGTTGGTGGTCCAGTGTGTTTTTGATGCTACATCACACTGCACACTGTGCGAGCCTTCTCTGTATTGCACCATTAACTTTGTCTTTATAAGTATTTGTTATCCTGAAATATGATATCATAAAATAGCAGATATTAGTGAAAAACTGCCCAAACTCACTGAAAAATCGGTTTTCTGCACAGCTTCCTACATATTGTCAATGCACAAACGACAGTCAGTGAAGAAGAAAAGAACCAAAAAA